TGGCAGACAGCTGGGGCCCCGCCGGGCTTTCTGTTGGCCCCCTATTCCCTCAACCCACGCACCCAGTAAACCATAGGGAATGGCACTGGTTTTTTAAAAATCTGCAGGTGGAAGGACCTGTGCAAGTCATCCAGTTTATCCCCCGTTTCACAGGCCTCCTGGTAAGACAAAAATTCCAGCATTCCAAAACAACTTAAAAGGAAAACTTTTCTATCAGTTCCCTCCTTCACTCCTCATTTCTTCCTCCTTTCCCGGGTTATTCCAGAAATTCCTTCCGTTAGTGGGAATCAAATCTTCCCAGGCGGCACAAGCTCTTTCCCTGTTAACTGTGAAGACCTGTGGCTGGCCGGTTGGACACGGCCCCTCCAGGCTGACTGCAGCCCACCCCGAGTTTACCTGCGCTCCCCACCCACCCCCACCACCTCAGCTCCCAAAGGCAATCCCAGAGCCTTTCACTTTTTCTCAGTCAGGTCTTCCTCTCAAACAAGTCTTTTTTTGCAAGGGGTGGGGTCCCAAAGATGAGATTTGGAGGGAAACTCACCCAGTGGCCGCTGTGGTCCACCTAGCAGGAGTGACTCTGCCCAAGCAGCGAGGGCCTGGCAGCTGGTTCATGGGCACAGTCCAGGGGTGCAAGCTCTCCTCCATTTTTTGATCCCCTCCCCTCCTTCGAGGCTCTTGGTATCTCGGGGAGCCTGCGCCCAAGCAGCGGGACAAGGCTGGCTTCCGGTGGCAGCCAGTTTTCCCCTGACTCCCGAGCCACCGGGTCTGTGCCCCAGGAGACACCGTCCTGGAGAAACTGTGACAGCCTTCAGCTTTTTGGCCTGTTTGCTACCAGAACATCTCACTGCTAGAAAGTAGGAGGCCGCACACTCCCCAGTCCAGTGGGATGGCCCCACCACCGAAGCCAGGAGGATGCCCAGGGCCCCCTGGCTCCCAGCCATCTCCCAAGGCTTGGGGACACAGGGCCGTGTTCGCAGTGGGACAAGATGAGGAGCTCCTGAGCTAGATATGCAGGTTTCAGCCCCTGGTGTCTGCACAATTCAAGCAGAGACATGGGACTGGAGGCTGAAAAATGTCACTAGAATGGTCCCAAATGTGCTCCATCCCTCATTACGGGTGCTGAGGAGGCAGCTCTCTATTAGGGTCTAGACGGAGCAGCCTCCACTTGGTTCCACAAGCCCGAAAGGAGGCTGGGGAGAAGACAGTAATTCCGTGTGCTTGGCCAGCAGTTTCTCCCCCAAGGGCTCCCATAGCTGCCGCAGTGGCTCCCTCCTCAGAAAGACCTGAGACCGCTCCCAGAGGTTCAGAGCACTGTGGTCCCCACAGAGACAGAGAGTCGGCCTGAAGTAGCTGCAAAGTCCAGCCATGGAGCCGGTCAGGCACTACGGCTTCAACTTGGGGGGTTTACACGTGGCCCCAGAACGTCTCAGGCAGGGAGGCAGGAATGAGGGGGGCACGTGGCAGGGACCGACCTCTGTGCCTAGGTGTGCAGCCCCAGAGGAATCTCTTCTGTGACTCAGGAAAGAGCCCAAGCAGCGCTGGGATTCCCGGGACCGGGGTCGAGCACGGCTGTGCCACTTCCCAACTGAGTGACTTTAGCCAGAGGAAGTGGGAAGTGATTCACTGAGTGCCTAAGGGTGCCAGTCCCCGTGCTCACGCAGAGACCTGGCTGTCTGACCCCGAAGCATGTCCCCCGATGTGAGCTGCGGTGCTACACTCAGAACCAAGAGACCTGGGTTCGAGGCACAGCTACTTGACTCTAGGAAATAACCTCCATTCTCTGGAACTCAGCTCCTCTTCAGGCAATAGCAAGTGGTGGGAGAGGAAAGTGAAATAGCATGGGGAAAGCACGCCCTCTAATATTCAGTGTGTGCGATGAATAGGGAGTTCCCCAGCCCATCCAATCTTTGGGACCACCTGAGGGAGCTCAGTGAAAATGCAGATTTCGAGGGCCCGCCTCCATGGCTCCGAGCCTGTGTCTTCGCAAACACCCCAGGGCCCAGGCGGGTTTGCCGGTCAGCCCGTATTTACAAATGTGAGGAGTGAATATCATTTCCCCAGTCCTCGGGGATGCCAAGGTTTTGCTTCTTTCTTCTGCCCAGCCAAGCTGTGGCCGGCCCTGCCCCGGCTCTCCACCTGCAGGTCTCCATTCCAACCCTTTGCCGACAGAGCTTGGCTGCCCCTCAGCACCTCCCAGCAGCGGCCCAGAGTAGGGGGAAAGAAAAACATCTGATCCAATACATGCAATGCACTTAGTCACACAAACAGGGCGAGCTGACACGGAGGCGGGCCAGGCCGCAAGGCCGAGGACCAGCCAGGGTCGGAACAAACGGATGAGGTGATCGCTGAGGGCGACGGTCAGCCTTTCGCCCCTGCGTAGTGAAGTGCGTGCTGGCTGGATCCCAGGGTGTACGTCTCGTGTTTATCTTACCGACTTTGTATCTCTCTAACATTGTTGGGTAGTTTGCAGTGGGCAGGAAAATCTGGGATAACTTGTGATGCTGGAACTCCCCCCATATCCTTCCCCACGGAGCGTCACCGTGGCATGGCTGAGTCCAAGCGAGAGCACATTGGAAAGTCCTTGCCCTCAGTTTCAGGGTGCGTGCATGGAGGGGCCGCCTCCTCACTGAAACTGACCTTCCAAGGTCAGCTCAGCTTCGAATGACGCCTGTGCTGTTCACACCCTGTGAGAACCGTTGTCTGGGACGTGGGCGAGAGGAGCTTAACCTTGAAGCAGACACACAGGCAGAGGCTCGGGCTTTAGGGCTGTTGGAGGCCAGCACACTCTCTGCACGAGGAGACGGAAGGGCCCTTACATGCTGGTTCCCATCGTCTTTGCCCAGGGCGCCCACGCTGCCTTTGCGCTCCTGGGTCTGGGTTCCCTGTCCACTGGACTTCACTAAGTGTTTATTGAAACCCTGTGACTCAAGGGCGCCTTGCAGCCCAGTTCTCGGTGCAAGGTTCAGCAGCTGTGGGTGAAGGAGGGCTATAAAGCCCTATGGCTTCTAACCAGCTGCCATAGCGATCAAGGCACTTGGGTTTCTAAGCCTCGGCTCCTTCTTTGACCTCAGGAAGTTGGAATATGTGGCTCGTAAGGACCCTGCCAGTTGCTAGGCCTCCGCGGGTCAGACTCAGTGTTGGACTCTCAGTGCGTGAGCAGGAACGCCGAGAGTTCCGCTCAAAGGATAAACCTCGCTGGCTGGGAGGAGCTCCCCGAGCATCAGAAAGGGGGACGGGAGTGGAACAAGAACTGCCCACCCCTTCCCCACGGCCACAGCAGTGGAGGGGAGCCACGAATAGAAGCGAGGCCTCAGACGAGAGGCCCTGCCAGGCGTGGACGGGTGGGGGGAGGAGGGACAGTGACCCCCGTTTTCGGGGGGCTGCATCTCTAGCTCTGGGGCCAGGCCCAGACCAAGAGGACACAAATGGCAGCTCTGGAGGAGATGCCCGGGGGTTCCCTGGGCTGACCCCACTTCCTGAGGGGCTCTGTCGTTTCCCAGGTCCCCGGGTCTGGGAGGCGCCCACCATGGCTGTCCCCTGGGCCTTTGCCACTCTTCCCGTGTCTTACCTCCAGTGTGCAATCGTTGGCTGAAGGTTTCCTGCAAACACACATTTCTCCCCATCCCACACTCGAGACCACCCCTGGAGGAGGAAGGCCCAGGCTTCCGCCAGTCCTAGAACAAAAAGTAGGAAGCTGGGGTTGTCTCCTTCCCTATTTGGTCTTTTTCCTTGACAGCATGCCTGTCCAAACCCTTCCACACATACTGCAGGAACCCAAGCTTTGAGCATTAGGGTGTCACACCTGGTGGCCGGTGGACATCGGGGTCACCCCCTGTGTTTGGAGGAGCTGAGAGACCCCAGCAGGTCTTCTGCAGCTCCTTCCACCACATCTCATTCACTGTCCACCTCACTTTCTGCAAATAAAGCCTGGAGACCTCGACCTCTCATCCCCCCCCCGCCCCGAGTTTTTTCCTCACAAACTCCCTTAGTGCCCAGCCACCGAGCCGGGAGGGCTCACGGCCTCTTCTTGAGGCCTGCGGCCCAGCCTCCTTCCCCTCCGGCCACAGTTCCTCAGCATCAAGTCTAGCGCCTCCTTGCCCAGCTGCTAAATGGCCATTAGGGGAGCAGGGTGCTGGGGCAGAGGTGGGGGCACTGGGGGCGGATCTTCTTAGCTATTTTGGCTACTGCAGAAACTAACTGCAAGACTGCGCACTGGGAAATAGGGCTGGCGGGCTGACGGTGTGGAGCGAAGGGACTCGGCCTGCCATGGGGTCTGTGTCGGGGGCCTGAGGCCGAGGAAGGAACTAATGACATGGTTGCGGCTCATGAGAGATGCCCCTCGAAGACAGTCATGCAGGGGCCTGGGTGGCCATTTTTAGTTATTATTTAACAAGTATGTTAGCAGCCACCAGGTGCTAAGGAGACAAAGGTAAAAGCTGAGAGGCCGCTTTGTAGGTGGACTTGGTATAATAAGCGCTGGGACTTGGGCGCACGCAGAAGTGAGCGGGGTCGGGGGTGGGGCTCCGGGAGCCGATTGAGTGTGCAGGGTGGTGGTGGGGCTGGTAAGGCCTGGCCTCAGCCCCGCTGCACATTGGTATCACCTGGGAGCTTTTAAAACCCCAAAACCTGAGCCACCCCCATGCCTATGCAAATTAGAATCTCTGGGGTTGGACCCGGGCATGAACGGTGGAAATTCCAAAGTGAGGCCGAGTGGGGACCACTTGGGGTCCTGGGGTGATTTATGGCTCAGGTCCGCAGGGGATGGAATGGCTCAATGGGTAACTGTCGTTGGTTGGTTGGTTGGTTGGTTGGTTGGTTGGTTGGTTGGTTTTTAATATGGGGCCTTCTTATTCACTCTTTCTAGAAGCCATGAGAACAGCCGTTCGGATTTGGGTCTGGGCAGGGACAGGGAGGAGGGAAGGCAGGCAGGAAGGAGGAAGGAGGAAGGGGAAAGGAGGAATCGGGCTGTGGCAACATCGAGCCACCTCCCTCGCTTCCAGGACCTCCTGCAGAACTCTCCCAATTCCATGTCTGGAGTCTCCAGTAACCCCCAGGGCATTGTGGTCCCAGCCTCTGCGCTCCAGCAGAGCAACATCGCCATGACAACTGTCAACTCACAAGTGGTGTCAGGTTGGTGCAGGGGATTGTGGGGACGCCCCTGGGAAGGGAAGCAGGAGCGGGGCTGCCCGCTGGGTTTCCTACCTAAAGTGTTCTGTAAGTTCGTCAATGGTTAGCGCCAGGACTTGACTGTGATTTGGGTCACAGTGTTATGAGCCCCTTAGAGGCCAAGCAAGGCTATTGTCCCTCCTCCAACACATGCCACCTCCATACCCCCATCCCCCCCTTCCCACAGGGGCCGAATGTCTCCAGATCAGAAAGCGTTTACGTGTGAATGCCCCCATGACAGGGCACACAAAACCTGGTTGTCTCCTCAGGTGGAGCCTTATACCAGCCAGTTACCATGGTAACCTCCCAGGGTCAGGTGGTCACCCAAGCAATCCCCCAGGGAGCCATCCAGATCCAGAACACACAGGTGAGTGTGAACAAGTGTGTGCTCGTCTGCCTGGGGGAGGGGGAGGGCAACCACATACCACCTGCTCACAAGTCACTCACACAGTCCGCATTACTCTTCTGAGAGCCTCACCCCCGCTTCACAGGTAAGAAGCTGGGTGTTAGAGGGGTTTTACCAACTCCTGGGATTCTGCTGCCTCCCCCCGGGTGACATCAAAGGCTCTTCCTACTTCTGGCCTCCCCCTGGAACCCCTCTGGAGCTCAGTGAGGCAGAGCACGTGCAGAAACGGGGCACGGGGGAGAGCGCGAGGCTCTGAGGCCAGAGGCCTGAGATCCGACAGTAGCTCTGTCCCTGTGGATAAGTCGCCCAACCTCTCTGAGCCCCCGAGTTCTTGTCCACAGAAGGGGGATTAACACGAGCAACTGCACGCAGCCCTACCAACCCACAGGCTGCCTGAGGGCTCACCTGGTCATGGAAGTCGCTTTGCGCACTGTCAGCGCCTCCAGAAATGCTAACTATTGAGAAGTTTATGGCAAATCCATCTCTCATCTTCTGTGCATAGCTCTGCCTCCTCCTTCTCCTCTCTCATCTCCTCCCCCTGACACCCCCCTCCCCCCGCCCGTCAGCCCGAGGATAGTGAGGGGAAAGGTGACCCCCTGGGGCCCTAGAATGAATTGGGAAGGGGGTTGGTTGGCAGCAAGAGCCTGCCATCGCTACGACAACAGGCCCCTAGCTGCTGGGCGCCAGGCTGCTGATGCTGACTTTTTCTCCACGTGCCCTGAAGGTTAACCTTGACCTCACTTCCCTCCTGGACAATGAGGATAAGAAGTCCAAGAACAAACGTGGAGTCTTGCCGAAGCATGCCACCAATATCATGCGTTCTTGGCTCTTCCAGCATCTCATGGTGAGTGAGTGAGTGAGTGTGTGCTGGGGGCGCCAGGCTGCACTGCTGCCCTCTGGCCCGGCCTCGGAGAGAGGCTCTCAGATGAAGATATTACCTTCCAGAGGCCAGGCCACAGGGGAGGGTCCTGTGGGACCAGAAGCTGGGGAGGCTATCTCTAGTGCTTGCTGCTGCTGCCACAAAAAAAAGTGTGTGGGGGGGGTGATGTCAAAGAGGGAGTGGGACGGATGTATTCTGAAGAGCCCTGAGCACTGGGCCAGTGGGCGGAACTGTTTCGTGAGTGGCCTGCGGCTCTGTGGGGCCGGCTGCACTTTCTGCTCACGCACCCTCCTTCCGCAGCAGCGTGCTGGCCCCCACCCTTCACGTTAGGAAGAAAATGTTCACTCTCCGCCCCTCTGTTTCCCAGAGTCCCCACCACTGGGGACGCAGAGCTTGTGTGTCCCTTTCCTTCTGCCCAGAGCCCCCAATGAGGCACAGGGAAGGGGAGCCCTGGTGGAGACCGTTGACTCTGGGGGGTCCCGGCTTCCTCTCTGAACCAGCTCAGCTCCTCGAGGCAGAGCAAATGCTTCCATAAGCCTCTGTGGCTACTTCTGTGACATGGAGGCAGAGCCTGAGGTTTAAACGTGAGGTTTATAAGGGGCCTGCTGTGTGCACCAGCGGGACAGGAGCTGCATTTGCAGGGTTCGAGCAGTAGCAGGCCTTTGGCTGAGCATCAAGCATCACTTCAACGACTTCGGTCCCCGGCGCCATCCAAGAGCCTTTGCGATAAATGAAGGCCAGTGAGAGCCTGGGCTGACTCTGTGTGTGTGCGTGTGTGTGTGTGTGTGCGTGTGTGTGTGTGTGTGTGTGTGTGCATGCGTGTGGATGGGGAGGTAGAGTCTCTGAGCGCAGGTGGGCGCCCAGAGGTCTGGAAGCTCATGGCCTGGCCTGGCCCGGCAGGACGTAGGTACACAGACGACAGACAAATGCCAAACTCGGGACCATAACTGTAGACATAAGCTGGCCTGTGCAGTGTGGGAAGAACCACGAGTAAGGAAGCTCCTCCTCAGTCGAATGGCTCCAGGAATCAGTCCATCCGTCCGTCAGTCACGGCACAGTCCCTTGTGGGAAACGGGAGTGCCTCCCAGAGCCACAGGGCCCAGGCTGAGGCGGCAGCTCTCAGACGTGCGATCTTGGGGACCCTGCCTCGGGAATGCGGGGCGCCGGGTGGACGGGAAGAACCGCTGTGCGGGAATCGCTGTGGCCGGACCTCTGCGTCTCCCCACACATATCCCCCACTCCAGGGGCTTGGGGCCACCACACGTTGGCTGAGGGCATACCTCTTGAAAACACCCCCAGGGGACACACAGCAACCTAATTTGGAGAGAAGGGGCTGCAGACCTGAGGGTTAAGGTGAGGAGAAGAGCTTGGAACGACTTCCAGGGCCAAGAGGTAAAGCCAAGGGGCCAGGGCCAGGGCCGGCCTCAGGCCCCTGGGAGCAGCCCTGGCGGAGGAGCTCGAGCTCCTGGCAGGGGCGCCCAGGGCCCTGCCTGCTCTGGTTCCCCCACTGCCGGGGAACCCACGGGCTCCGATGGGCTCCGTGGCCCCGGGGCCCATGCCCAGCCCCCCACAGTGGGAAGCAGAGCTCCTGAGTTAGGATCCTCTCTGTGCCCTGGCCTGCTGTGCCCAAGGGCAGCGGGCAGCCTGGCCCCTCCCCTCCCCACCACGGATCTAGAGCGGCCTCCAGCCCTGTGGTGAGGGAGGTGTGGCTGTGGGGCCGAGGGGCGGTAGGGAGTGCCTGGGCTCCTGAGGGAGCCAAACCTGAGCTCACACCTGGGCCTCACCTTTCCCTCTGTCACCTGGCCACACCCACCTCTTGTGAAGATGATGCTGAAGCAACGAAATCACTGCCAAGGCCCTGGCACAATGGTGCTCAATGAGTGTCAGTCCCCTTTCCTTCCTTCCTCGCCTCCCACCCCCATGCATTCTTAAAGACGGCTGTGGATGAACCTGCAAACTCACTTTTGAGGGCAGAAAAGGCAGGTGTGGGAGGAAGAGGCAGCTGCAGGACAAGGTTCCCAGATCCCGAGCATCCCCTGGGATCTGCACCCCCTCCGAGTCCCCTCACCCACCATGGGCCCCTCCTCCACCACCTCCCACAGCTCCTCTCACTTGCCAGCCTGAGCCTGGGGCCTCGCCCGACGGGTGCCTCCTGCTGTGCCTCCTCTCCGACCTCAGCTCACACCCTGCACTCTCACCCCTTCCTGCTGAGCCTCGTCTGCAGCTCAGGGCCTCTTCTTTCAGCTTCCCATCCCCTTCCAGCCAGACTCAGGGTGGCAGAGGGAGGTCAAGGTGGGGAAGAGAGAGGGGTAATCGGAGCACAAAGCAGAAGGGAAGGAGGAACCCAGGTGGGCTGCACCAGAGGGACCTGGGACAATGGGGAGGACTCAGTGAAAAGCATGAATAAGGTTTTTTCACCGCATCCTCCGCCCCAGACCCTCTCCAGCTCAGGGGGCACATAGTATGGGTGCTATCAACACAGCGCTCAGCCCTGGAGAGGTCCTCCACTGTGAGTGCCGTCCTCACAGCAGCAGAACGGGGGACAAGGGAGAGACCTCTGGGCCTCTCAGGCAGAACTCAGAACTTACGGGGGGGAGGGACAAGTCCAGACTATAGGGACCCAGCATGACCCAGCTGTCCTCTGAGGCCAGGGCCGCCCACCCCCCCCCCCCCCCGCCCCAAACACCAGCTCAGGAAGGAGGCAGTAGAGGCTCTTGGTGACGGGCACCTCGGACAGGAGCCGGGCTCAGAAGCCGAGCAAACAGGGACGTGGACAGAGGCCTGCCCAGCAGCCGTGCCCTTGCTCTGCCCCTTTCCTTGAACGAGGAGAGAACGCCCCTTCTCCATGGGTGTGGAAGTTGAATGAGGCAGCCCATACCGGACACACAGTCACACGTAAGAAACGTTAGTTCCCTCTGCACTCTCTAGAACAGTGGAGTGAGTTTTGGGGCTAATTTTCCCAAATTTGTGGAAATCAATCAGCGGCGGATGGCTGACCTGGGGTTCTGACCTGCGACCCCTGCTGGTTTCACCACAAGGATGCACTGACATAAGGTGGCTACTTCCCTGTCCCATGTGGGGGTGCGTGTGCCAGATCTACACGCCTCATGTCTCCGGTTCAGCTGCGAATTGTGCAAGGCCGGCAGCACACCCTGTGCCTCTTCTGCGGGCCCCAGTGGGTCCCAGAGTCGTGGGCAGCAGGACACGGGGGCGCTGCTCCCGGGGAGGGTTTGGGGGAGCGTGTGGGGAGGTCTGGGTCAGGCAGAGTTAGCCTGTTTCTGTGTTCTCAGCACACGAGGGGGCGTTGCGAATTTGCCAGCAGGGGGTGTGGCTTGACACTCTCCACACACACACGTGATCACTCTAAGTCTCCCTTGTTCCCACTGCCGTCTGGAGAACAACCTGCGACTGCTGTTCTGGGGCCGCCCCACCGTGCATTGACGCTGTGTGGGGCAGGTAGCAGCCGTGCGGTCGCAGGAAAGAGGGTAGAGGGAAGGGCGACACCAGCATACAGGTGTTCTCACCTCCGGTGCAGCAGAGACGACACACCTGCGTCCGGGGTCATGGAAAAAGCTGGTTAAAGAAAGGAACGACCATTAAAAAGTCACATTTTACTCTAATTTAAAAGATGTGCATACACTTATTCACTCAACTTTTGGTATAGGGCCAAGATCTTTTTCTGATTAAAGTTTGTCATTTTACTTGCACAAAGCTCTCCTGTAATATAACATCTACAAATTCCATCTCTACTTGAAATGGAGTAAGAATTTTGACATCTGGGAAGTTGGCTGGCTGCAGGATCTTCCTGGATTTCTGTTGTGTATTCCAGCCTCCTGACACCTGCCCCTCTTTGCCCCACTGTGTGGTATTTGTAAGCAGATTTGAGTCTCAGGTCTTTTCAAAGCATTCCACGTAGGTTGTGCTGTCGTGTGCGCGTTCAGTAACAGTAACTCCTTCTTTGTGCACTGGCGTTTCACTGGGTCGCAGAGTGGTTGATTACGTGATTGCCATACATGTGACCGGCATAAACCAGTTTGACACAAGCACGCTGACTTCCTGGTATGCGGATGACTCAGCTGACGCGCACACCTGTGAAGGAGCCCACTCGTCTCGGGCGTTCGGGGCAGTGTGGACACCGGCTCTGACGGTTTACGGAAGAAATGGGGAGCGTCGTACCATCTGCAACTTCGAACTTCTGTAGTAAACGCTGGCTTCGCCTGCTGTCTTCTTCCTCTCGGGCACAAGTTGGTGTTCTCTGATACTCTTTGTCCCGTGTTCGAGGCTTCTTGTCGTCTGTTCTGTGGCAGTAGCAGCCACAGGAATGTATGCAGATGACAGAGTGCTCCTAGGATGGAGAGCAAACCGGAGGCTTCTTGCTGTTGGGCTGCAGGGAGACGGGATGGTTTCATCCATGAGCTGCTCTGCTTCCAGGTCCCTGAAGAAGCCGGTGACGGTTTCCTGCTAAAGCACTTTGCCTGGGAGAGACTAGGCTCCCGCTGGAAGGAATGGCTCCGTAGCAAACCCAGGCCGGGCGAGGAAGACTGGCAGAGGGCGGAGGGAGAGGCTGCGCTTCCTCCCCAGCTTCTGGCCTGTCCCCCACTCCAGGTCCCAGCCTCCCCCTGCCCTGCCCTGCCCTGCCCAGTGATTCTGCGCCTTTCCATCCAAAATATGACAGTTCTCTGGGCTGCAGCCACCCAAGCACGTGGGCGGCTTTACGAGACTATTCTGAGTGGGAAGAGTTCCCTACAGAGGAAACCTCACCCGGCAGCCCCCCGCTGCCATGCCAAAAGAGCCACCCCTTGCCAACCACGGCGTGGGCCGGGCTTGAGTCTTCCGCCTCGTCTCGTGGCCCATGCAGCCCCCACAGGAAGTGCGCGCCACTGTCACCCACATTTTACAAACAGCAAAACTACACCCAAAGAAGGTAACACAGGCCCCAAGGCCTCGAAGGATTTGAACCTAGG